AAGTGCCCTACCCAATGTAGCTCTCCAGCCCCAAAGGTCCAAGATTTAACAAGGCTCTCAGCCACAACTTCTAACTTCCTATGAACCAAGGCTTCCTCTTTCCAAATATCTGTTCAAACCCAGATTATTGTAGATTCTGTTATGCATCTAAAAAGGTATTTATTGGGGTTCAAGAGATAGAACAGCAGATAGGTCTTTTGCCTTGCATGCAGCTCACCCAGGTTTGATCCCGACACGCATTATGGTCCCCTGAACCCCGCCAGGAGGGCTCTGAGTACAGAGTCAGGAGTAAGCCCTGAGCATAGCTGGGTGTGACACAAAACAAAACAAAACAAAACAATACCTAAAAGAATACTCGCTGCTTTTATTCCCAGCCTTTTCACGTGCTATGTAGGAGGAAGTTCCAGGCGGTATTAGGAAAGGAAGTCCCATCCCATTCAACGCTTAGTAGGCAGAATTGTCACTGTTTACTTGTCTGTTTTTCTCTGTATCAAGCTCTGGGAGGGCAGGGCCTGGTCTGACTCATCTCCTGCTCAACTTCTGACAAGAGCAAATGCTCAGTGTATTTGTTGATACCAAACCCCAACTCAGACACCCCGAGTGATTGCTACCTCATTTTCCATGTCTACCTTCCTCTGGAGTGGGTTGTGTTCTCTGCATGACTTCCAGCTTAGCTAGTAAACATCAGCCCCTCATCTGTGTTCATCCTTCACAACACTCAGATTGTCCTCTAAGCTTCTGCCAAGTGGGTGCCTAGAGCCCGAATGATCCCACTGGAACACGGATTTTGAACTTTGATTCAGGACCAAGCACAGAGATAACCCTAGGACTCTCAGCAATTGTGGAAGTCAAAACTGGACCAAGATTTTGGGAGAAAATTTTGGAAGCCTGTATTAACGTTTGATATGTGAATGTCTATCAATCTTACAATTCACTTCTCTGAATCTATAAGAACAGTCACCATAGGGTTCCAGGGGCTGTGCACAGGATTTGATTCTTTTTTTTTTTTTTTTTTGCGATGCACAGGGGTTACTCCTGGCTCTGCACTCAGGAATTACCCCTGGCGGTGCTCAGGGGACCATATGGAATGCTGAGAATTGAACCCGGATTGACCGCGAGCAAGGCAAATGCCCTACCTGCTGTGCTATTGCTCCAGCCCTGGATTTGATTCTTGGCAGCAATGGTTCCCTGAGTTCCACCAGGAGTGACCTCCTGAACTGGAAGTGAGTGCTGCTGGGTATAGCCTAAAACCCCTAAAGCAAACAAAAATTTGCTGTAAGATTGGTTGTGGCAGCAACAACTGAAAATCACACAAATGTTCGCCAATAAGTCATCAATAAATAAACTACAGCCTAACAATGGAAACTGTAAGACAGGTCTGTTAATTTTTGTTTTGTTTTGTTTGGGAACCACACTCAACTGTGTTCAGGGCTTACTCTTGGTTTTGTGCTCAAGGACCACTCCTGGATCACTCCTGGTGGTGCTCAGAGAACCTTATGGGGGACAGGAATTGAGTCCAGGTCAGCCACGTGCAAGGCAAATGCCCTACCTGCTGCACTACCTCTCTAGACCCAGGTTTGTTCATTTCTTTTTTTTTTTAATTTTTCTTTTCTTTTTTTTTTTCTCTTTGGGTCACACCCTGCAATGCTCAGGGGTTACTCCTGGCTCTGCACTCAGGAATTACTCCCGGCAATGCTCAGGGGACCATATGGGATGCTGGGAATCGAATCCAGTCGGCTGTGTGCAAGGCAAACGCCCTACCCACTGTGCTATCGCTCCAACCCCCGTTCATTTCTTAAATGATTTAAATCTTACAACTGACATAAGTAGAACTCTAAGTCATATTTATGAGTGAAAAGCATAAGTCTTCATAACTGTATATTTATGTAGAATCAAACAAATCTCTAGGCAATATAAAATGGGTATCAGTTCATTTTTCAGTGCTATTAGAAATTTTTAAATAACCTCACCTGACTATTTTCTGTTAGTTAATGTTCATCTTATAAATTAAGAACTCAGGGTAGGGAGCGATAGCACAGCGGGGAGGGCATTTGCCTTGCATGCGGCCAACCCGGGTTCGATTCCCAGCATCCCATATGGTCCCCTGAGTACCGCCAGGAGTAACTCCTGAGTGCAGAGCCAGGACTAACCCCTGTGCATTGCCGGGTGTGACCCAAAAAGAAAAATTAATTAATTAATTAAAAGCTCAAAATAATGAGTAAGATATCATTATAGCACTGTTTTTAATAACAAATTTTTTTTTCTTTTTGGGTCACACCTGGCAATGTACAGGGGTTACTCCTGGCTCTGCACTGAGGAGTTACTCCTGGCGGTGCTCAGGGGACCATATGGGATGCTGGGAATTGAACCCTGTTCGGCCATGTGCAAGGCAAACACCCTATCCACTGTGCTATCTCTCCAGCCCCAATAACAAAATATTTTAATCAAGCTTCCCATGGGGGACTGAATACAAATAGTACACACTATGAGATTCCTTGAATGTGTGAAATTCTCTCTCCAGGCTGACAAACGAAGTTCTGCAAAATATATCGAACAGTAGGGGAAAAAAAGCAAGATACAGAACAGGGCTTCCATTTGTACGAAAAATAAATATGTGCATACATATAATGAATTTTAGTCCTTTTTTTAAAGGGTCTCATACTTGTGAGCATGAGCTCTATCACTGAGCCATATCCTTGGCCCTATACATTGGATTTTATTTTATCTTGTGTTTTCTTTGGGGAGGTTTTTGGGCCACACCTGGCAGTGTTCAGGGGACCATATGCCAGGGATCAAACCTGCATCAGTTGCATGCAAGGCAAGAACCTTAATCCCTGTACTATCTCTCTGCCCTTTTTGCAATTTTCTTTTTGTTGTTGTTTGGGGACCATATATTGCAGTCTTCAGGGTCCACTCCCTGTGGGTGCGGGAGACCATCTGGGGTGCTAGACATTGAACCTGGATTGGCTGCGTCTATGTCCACGTGTAAGGCAAATGCCTTAACCGCTGTAATATTTCTCTAGCCTTCGAGCCATTCTTTGTGGAGCTTAGGGGACCATAAAGTGCAAGGGATAAAAGCAGGCCTTTTGCATGCAAAGCATGTGCTCATGCTCAGCCCATTAAACTATTTTTTCCAACCCCATACTTTTGATATTCAATAACAAAGATTGTATTATATACAAAAATTATGTAAATCATTGCTTTATTCAAAAACATCTTAATAGTTTATTTTGGGGGGTCTCCCCAGTGGTGCTAGGATCCACTAACACTATACCTGCTGTGCCCAGCTGAGAGGTCATGCAGTTCCGGGCATTGAATCCATGCTAGCCACAAGCTATGCTAGGCACAAGTTCCAGCCCTTTGAGCTATGTCCCCGACCCCCATAATTTGGGGGGCATTGGGTTTTGGGTCATGCCTGACAGTCCTTGGGAACCACTCCCAGGTCTGTGGGGTTCCTGGTAATGCTCAGGGGACCATGTGGTGCTGGGCATTAAAGCAGGGTTGGCTACATGAGACAAGCACCTTAACTCCAGTACTATCTCTCAGCCGTCCCATTTTAATTTTGAAAAAAAGACATCAGGTGCATAGATGACAATAGTCCCCTGGTAAAGAAGGGCGGCTAACTCACCCCTGAGAGAATTTCTGTCATGTCCTTTTCCCACCTGCTTCCCCCAGCATATTCTGGTTCAGAGGGAGGCACCTGAGTTATTCAAAGCCTCATTCCAAAGTGCTTGGGGCCAGAGAGACAGTACAGTGGCCACATGGCCAACTAGCACTTGATCCCTAGGCCCCCATGTGGCCCCACACCCCGCCAGAAGTGATACCTAAGCTCAGCACCAGGAGTAAGCCCTGAGCACCACTGGGTGTGGCCCCGAAACAAACCCAGAAAAAGAGTGCCTTTCCTGCCACCTCTTACCTACTTGGCACTCTGTCCCCAGTGTTCTGGGCTGAGAACCAGAGCCGATTGACCATAGGGTCATATTTCCAGAGGGCCCCATCAATGCGAGATCAGCCCAGGAAAATTGGGCCACCCATCTCTGACCTCTTACCTCCCAGTCCTGTTTCTTGCATGCCTCACCACTCTCCCCCCTCCCTGCGCGGCTTTTTCAGTCTCCTCTGTGCAGAGAAGCGTGTGAAAATCCCTCCTCAACTAGACAGGAGGGGAAGTTAGAGTTCCTCTCTCCAGACAAGCAGTATTTTAGAAGCACCCACAGAGGGCAAGGCTTAACTAAGAAGGACCCAAGATAGTAGAATGTCTGGCACCCAGGAGGACAGGATCTTGAGGGAAAGGGTTTCTCTATCATTCTTCAGTCAATGCCATAGAGTGTCTAAGAGTGTGGTCTCGGGGGCAGGAAATGTCTCGAAAGGCTGGAGTGCAGTCCCTGCATGTGGGAGCCCTGGGCTTAATCCTCCCCGTCGCATGGTTTCCCTGCACTGCTGGGAAGGGCCCTGAGCACCATGCCAGGAGTAGCCTCTGAGCACCACTGGATGTGACCCTGAAACCAAAAACCAAACCACATAAATGAAAATAAATATGGTCTTCAGAGTGACGCTGAAGGGATTTATTCATATTCTGGTCTGTCACTTAGTATCTGCTACATTTTGGACAGAGAACACCCACCCTGTGCTTTAGCTTCCACATCTGCAAGATGGGGGTAAGAACCAAAGATCATTCAAAGGACTAATCGTCGTGAAGGGCTGGAGTGATAGCACAGTGGGTAGGGCATTTGCCTTGCACGCAGCTGACCCAGGTTTGATTCCTCCATCCCTTTTTTTAAGCTTTACCTCCCTTTTTTTTTTTTTTTAAGCTTTACCTCTGAATACTTGTTGATATCTCCCATACCCGCCACTGGAAGCTCCAGAGTCATCCCCACTATTAAATTGAACCTTTGGGAATGGAGAGATTGTAGCACCTACCGAGGCTTCTGGACTCTTTTCATCGTCCTCCCCACGTGGTGGGGATTTGCGTTGTTTCTTCATGTTGGTGTGGAGATATGGAGAAAAATATGGAACACTTCATGAATTTGCATGTCATCCTTGCACAGGGTCCATGCTAATCTTCTTTCTCTGTATCGTTCCAATTTTAGTAGATGTGCTGCTGAAGCGAGCATGGGAATGGAGAGATTTTAGAGGGGTATGGCACTTGGCACTTGCATGCGGTCAATCCTAGTTCTATCTCCAGGACCGCATCTTATCCCCTAAGCCCTGCCAAGAATGATTCCCTGAGCACAGAGCCAGGAGTCAGGCCTCAGCTGAGCCTTTTACCCAGCCCTCTCAACACCTCCCCCCACCCCGTTGCCCTTTCTGTCTGGTAGCCAATATATTTTTCACAGATTCTGAGTTATTTTTGTTAGTTTGTTTTCTTTGCTTCTTTAGATTTCACAAATAAGACAAACCATTTGCTCATTGTCTTTCGCCTTCTGACAGTTCGCATTGAGTTAATCCCGGAAGCTCCCCTGTGTCTTCTCAGAAGGCAACATTCTGGTTATTTTTAATAGCTGAGTAGCCATGGAAAACCTTTAGAAAACCTACTGGAACAGAGGAAGCAGTGCAATCAGTGTTAGCTGCAATTATGATTATTTGTACAAATACATTTTTTGGTTTGCTTTTGGAACACACCTGACAGTGCTCAGGGCTCCTGACCCTGTTAGCTATGATTATAGTGGTCTATATAAATATTTTTGTTTTTTATTTTTGTGCTGCACCTGACAGTGCTCAGAGGCTACTTGTGGCTCTATGCCCAGCGGTCACTCGCAGCAGTGCTCAGGGGACTGTGGTGCTGGAGACTGAGCTTGGGGCTCGTGCATGCAAAGCCTGGATTCCCGTCCTCTGAGCCATTTATCCTGGGCCCCTTCATGCCCATCTTAACATCACAGGGTTTTACTCCAGCAGCTGCCTCAGACAACTTGTATTTACTGTCTCTTTTGCTAGCATTTTATTTCCCCTTTATGCATGATTTACTACCTTCTCACATTGTTCATCGTGGCTCCTGAGAGTCCAAACTCTACTGCTAACGTGTTCACATTATGAAATCTTTTCCAACCGATTTCTTGGATCTAGCTCCATTTTAAGCAGTACATGACTCTATACCACAGTTCTATTGATTTGGGGGCAATAAAGTTCCACTGAGTTTTAACTCCAGGAGAAGAGGATGAGGAGGTAAGCTCTGGAAACTGAAGCACCAAGCACCAAGTCCTGCCCCACAACCTTCCCTCGCTTGCTCTGTTCACTGGGCCAGTGCTTCTGAGCTTCAATTTCTTTAGCTGATTTTTTTTTTCTTTTTTAAGGGGTAGGTGGGACCCACCTGGTGGTGGTGGTGGTCACGGCTTATTCCTAGCTCTGGGCTCAGTGGTCACTCTTAGAGGTGCTGGGGAACCACTGGAGGTGCTGAGGATCAAGCTGGGGCCAGCCACATACAAGACAAATGCCTTACCCACTGTACTATCTTTCCGGCCCTTTCACTGAAAATTTAGAGGAGGTATCAGTAATCATTCCATGCACAGCATTTCATTATAGTGGAAAGGTTTCTTTTCCAATAAGATACTTTTTTTTTGGGGGGGGGGTCACACCCAGTGTTTCACATGTGTTACTCCTGGCTCATGCATTCAGGAATTACTCCTGGCGGTGCATGGGGGACCATATGGGATTCTGGGAATCGAACCCAGGTCGGTCACATGCAAGGCAAATGCCCTACCCACTGTGCTATTGCTCCAGCCCCACTTGTTTCTATGACTCAAGAAATCCTGTTCCTAGGAACTGAGAATTGGCCCAGTGAATTCCTATGCCAGAAAGAGAGGACAAACTCCACAGAAAAGCAGACGGGCAGAGTCCCAGACAAGTTCAGGAATTGATCAGTCAACAAATCAAGATTGACAGTCTATTCAGAGTCTCTCGCCGGACACCACTGTCAGCCTTTGGAGCCCTTCTTGGGCTCTTGCTTTGAGACCATCTATGCTATCTTAGGGCCACAGGAACTCACTGCTGCTCCCAAAATGTGCTTTTTTGCAGGGAGAGGCATAGCCAGCCCAGGCTATTCTGCCAAAAGCATCTAGCGATGAACTCTGGGCTATAATCAGAGAAAGTGTCCTAGAGTCAAAATTCAAGCTGTTTCTGAATTCTCAGGTGAAAAAATAAAAAGCAGACCTTTATCAACATGTGTGGAAGTTTTCTAGTTGCATAAAAAACCGCCTGTACAATCTTAGGGGTTCAAGACAAGGCCATTAGTCACGTTTTAAATCAGAGTTCAGGCCCAGCTTCTCATGGTTCTCAGGGACCTCCAGTGCTGAGTTCAAGGTATTATCTAGTGTATCATCATCTATACACTCAACTAGGGAAGTACTGACCTGTTCGTTTGTATCTTTTTGGGGTCACACCCAGGGATCACTGGGTCAGTTCCCAACTCTGTGCTTAGGGGTTCTCCTGGCAGTACCCAGGAAACTATGCGATGCTTGGGTTGGACCCGGATTCTTGCAGGTGAAGTCTGCACTCACTCAGCTCACTGAACCATTTCTCTGGCTTGGGAATGACTGACACGCAGGAACCAGAGGGATAGGGTTAAGGCCCTTGTCTTGCACATAGCTGACCCTGCACCATTGGGAGTAACTCCAGTGCCCTCCCTGCCCCCCTCCCACAAATAACCCTGATGCCCCACAAAATAACTCCAGTGCCCCACAAACAAAAGGCTTATTTGCAAACTCCCTTGCACACTTGACAAAATTCATTTTCTTGTGCCCTCATAACTGAGCTGCCTTTTTCTTGCAACCTATCAGCCAGGCACCAATCTCTGCCTGTGGAGTCCTTCTTGGGCTCTTGCCCTGAGACCATCTATGCTGTCTTAGGACCACAAGGGACTGTCTGCTGCTCCAGAAATCTTTTTTTCCAGGGAGAGGCATATCTAACAATGTTTAGGGATCATGGAGATCAAACCTGGAGTTTCTGCATGCAAAGCATGTGCTCTAGACCTTTGCCTCTTTAGCCCCCGGAAAGTGTAGGGACTACAGAGGTAATACAGCAGGCATTACCTTGCATGTGGCTGACCCAAGTTCAATTCCCATCATCTCCATCTAGTTCCCCAAGCATCGCCAGAAGTTATTCCTGAGTGCAAAGCCTGAAGTAACCCCTGAGCATCACCAGGTGTGGCCCCAAAACAAAACCAAACAAAAAGCAATTATATATTAGGTAGCACTTTCTGTAGCACTGTCATTTCTGTTGTTCATTGATTTGCTCGAGCGGGGCACCAGTAATGTCTCCACTGTGAGACTTGTTGTTACTATTTTTGGTATTTCAAACACGCCATGGGTAGCTTGCCAGGCTCTGCCGTATGGGCAGAATACTCTCTTGCCAGGCTCTTTGAGAGGGACAGAGGAATCAAACCCGGGTAAGCTGCGTGCAAGGCAAACGCCCTACCCGCTGTACTATTGCTCCAGCCCTGAATATCTATATGGTACAGCAGGTTGGGCATTTGCCTTGCACACAGCCTTGCACCGCCCTGACAGGTGCCTGGACAGCCAACCCAGGTTCCCGGGTTCAATTTCCCATGTATATTAGGTAAAAATGTTTTTTTATTTACAGTTTTTGTAACTTCAGGGCATTTTTTATTGCTTTACACTTATGTACAATTGATATTTTTGCACATGACTGAATGCATGGAAAAAGTATTGTGTCTTATTAGTTTTTGGCACTCAGCCATCTGAATCTCAATTTTCTCATCTATAAAATGGAAAGATCAATGGTGCCATATTGGAGAGTAGTGGGCTTATAGCAGATGCTCAACAAATTAGTTAGGTATATTAGTCCTGAAGAACAGAGATTAGACCCAAGGAATTAGGTTGAGTGGGGGGAGGGGCGAGGTAGTGGAGGTTCCCAGAGAGAAGGAAAGCGCAGGAGGCAACAGAGGCTGGAAAGTTGGGGGTTACTCAGAGTGTGGTTATTTGCACCAGGGGTTTGCACGTGTGTGTGTGTGTGTGTGTGTGTGTGTGTGTGTGTGTGTCCAAGCAGCTAAAGGAGCAGATGGCAACAGCTTCACTCTCCCCTCCCCGCCACTCAGAACACTGGGGCTTCCTGCTTTCCAGCCGCCCTGACAGGTGCCTGGATAGCAGCGGGAGCTGCCTGCTTGCAGAAGGCAGGACAAAAGGAAGAGTGGGAAGCAGGAAGGGGCAGTGGTGTGAACTTCAGGAAATCCATTTGTTCCCAGAAGAGGAAGAACCCTGCTCCACTCTCTCCTCACCTCTCCTCACCAGCCTGAAAGCTGGATGGGCACCCAGTCCCTAAGTAAGTCTCTGGGAAGTGCAGAATTTGACCTTGCCCGGGCAAGCGCCAGGCTCACAACCGCACCCACAGCACCCACCATTTCTCCCTCTGGCTCAGGTGCCTGCTGGAAGCTGTCTCTGAACTCAGGGCTCAGCCACCCAGCCATCCTATCCCCTTGCCTCCCGCCCCCCCCCCCCCTCTATCAACCCCTGCCCCCCCACCCCAACGCCAGATTCCTGTGCTAGAATTCCCACAAGGAACTCTCTCTGAAGGAGCTCCTCTGGTCCCTGCGTCACTCACAGACATCCCCACAGAATCCCAGTTATCAGCCAACCTCGCACCCAGAGCAGATGGGCTGAAGCTAAGCCCAGCCTCCTCTTGGCAAGATGGATCCTGCCCTGCCTGGCATCCTCACGGTGAGAGGTCAAGGTCGGTGGGTGTAGTTTAGGAAGCAGCCATTTTGTAGATGGGGAAATTGAGACTCAGACAAAAAAAAAAAAAAAGTGGGGAAGATTTTTACAGGGCCAGGCAATAAGTTTGTATCGGGCCAGTGTTCAAATCTAGATTTAGTGACAGTCACAGTGTTCATACACACACACACACACACACACACACACCAATTACCCTCAGTTCAGAAAACTGTTAAGTTAAACCCAGCAGAGCTCACACTCCTGACTCTGTTCTTAGAGGTCACACCTGGTGGTGCCTGGGGGACCATGGGCAGTGCCAGGGATCTAACCAGGGTGGTTTCATGCAAAGGAAGCACCTTAATCTCATACTATCTTTCCAACCCAGGTAACTTCAGATTGAACAATTTCTTTTTTGTTTTGTTTTGTTTTTTGTTTTTGGGTCACACCCGGCGATGCACAAGGGTTACTCCTGGCTTTTGCACTCAGGAATTACTCCTGGCAGTGCTCGGGGGACCATATGGGATGCTGGGAATCGAACCCGGTTTGGCCGCAAGCAAGGCAAACACCCTACCCACTGTACTCCAGTCCTGAACAATTTCTTTTTTAATGAACAATTTAGTTATCAGTCTGTCTGCTGAGGAAATTTGGGAAATACGTCTTCTTTAACTGACTTTACCAGTAAAATGTCTTTCCCACTTTGTTTCTTCATTCCAAGAAAACAAGAATAATACATCCAGAGAGGGTTGTTATGAAACAAAACCAGTCACCCACATAGGTCAGAACTCAGTGTGGTGCCTGGCACATAGAAATGCAAATAACACTATCTTCACGTTGTTTGTCTTACTCTCTGGACCAGGGGCTGGTAGAGTGTGTGTGTGGGGGGGGGGGGACGGGTTGGGCAAGGCGGCACTGCTTTTATCTGGTCTCACTAGTTTAGACTCAGAATTCAAGCCACAAATGCAAGGCTTTTTCTACACCTGTTCTCAATCTTAGTGGGGAGCGTGGAGGAGGGGAGGGAGTCAGTTCTACAGTGAGTTCAAACTCACTGTACACATAAGGTCTGTCAGGGATATGCCCAGGCAGACCCATCTCTGCCCTTAAAAGTGGGGGACTCAAGTCTTAAGGGGGGGCAGGGTTTGGTGAGAGCGCACTCTTGACCTTTAATCCTGAGGAACAAAAACGGAGCAGGTGCTTCTATCTGGCAGAGCCTGGCTGCGCAGGGACATCTGTCAGCTTTGTGTGTGTGTGTGTGTGTGTGTGTGTATGTGTGTATCTGGTTGTGATTTCAGGGATACTCTTGGCCTGGCACCTCCTCCATAGTCCCTGTGGGGTATAGAACACTGGCACCTGGTGGGGTCAAGCTCAGGACCTGAGTCTGCTGTTCTTGAATTCCAGACTCATTCCTCCACTTCCGTATTCTCTATCTGCTTACTTGGAGATCTGAGGTCTCCTTCTGCCCTGAGCAGAAATCTCTGCAGTGGACAGGGATGGGCCTCAGGGGGTATCAGGTGGTGACTCCACTGGGTTTTAGGCCCCCACATCTTCCATGGGTATTCCTGGCTGGAAGAGAAACAGCAGAGGGGCCTGGAACCCAGCCCCTTGTATATAAGGTTTAGCTAAGACTAGGAGCAGAAGCGAGGTCATTCACTCAGGATAACACTTCTCAACTGGGGGGATGGGGGCCTGGGTTGGGTTTCCTCTATGAGGCACCAAAATAAAGACAAAGTTCCTGCCCCTGTGATGCCACTTGGGAAGGCACCCCCCCACCCACCCCATACAGCTAGATCCCTGCTATAAACGGCTATCTGTGGAGGGCACGCTGGATACGCAAGTAGGGCCAGGAAGGGCTACAGAAAGAAAGAAGGCTGGAGAGAATCTTCAAGGCAGAAAAGATTTGAATTCAGAAAGACTGGAAGAGGGCATTCCAGGCCAGGCCTGCACTGAGGTGTGGATGTGGGAGAGTGTAGACGCGCCCGGGAGGCTGACTTGGGCATGAGGTGCCTGTGGGAGACGGAGGGGAAGTGTGGCTGGAGAGAGCTGCGGCTCCTATAAGGCCAGGCTAGGGGAGCTAAGCAGGAACGGAAGAGGGTTCAGCACAGGCAAGGAAGGGGTTGGGGTGGGGGTGGGGGATTATCTCCCTTAAGTCAGCAAGGAAGTCAAGAGAGGGTATGAGGTCAGAAGGAAGTCAGGGTTTGGGCAGAGGTTCAGAGTTGCCACATGATGACACTGGGGACAAGATTCCAAGGGCCCAAACACCTCTCTCTCTCTCTCTCTTCCCCCCAGCTCCTAGCTGTTCTTTCCTGGTACCTCCAAGTTACTTAGGCTAGGAGGGGACCCGAGAGTTGGTACAACAGGCAGTTGCTTGTCATACAACTGACCTGGCACCGTGGTCCCCTTGAGCCCTCAAGGAGTGAGCCCAGAGCCCAGAGCCAGGAGTAAGCCCTGGCTTACGAAAAAAAAAAAAAACACCCTAAGACTCAGGGGTTCCTGCAGGAGTTCAAACTAGGCTGGGGCAGATTTTATCTTGTTTTATTTAGGGGTAGAATTTGGGGGCTACATGCTGTGGTGCTCAGGGGTCACTCGTGACAAGTCAGGGTCTCTATGCCGTGTAAGGGATTGAACCAGGAGTTGCCACATGCAAGGGAAATGTCTTAACCCCTGTACTGTTTCCCCAGCCCTTGGGACTGGATTTTAATCACCAGCATGAAGTGGCTGAGCTCATTCTCCATGTCCTGGTGGAACAAAGGAGAGTGCAGTTCTTAGAACTGCCCCGTGAAGACAGCTCCTCTGAGAGGCCTGAGGACCTCAGTCCCCACCTCTCTCAGGCCATGGGGAGCATTAGCAGCCTACAGCATGGGCTTGCAGAATCCTGAGGGTTTAATTGAAGTTTCCAGGTGAGTTCTGGAAGGCAGCTTGGTGGGACGGGATAGAGAGCTCAGGGGGCCTTTTACATTGCAGGCAGGACAACCACCAGGCTCTAGCCTGGAAACTCAGATATGCTTGATTGACAGATAAGGAAATGTAAGCTGAGTGTGGCACTGAGACTTGTTTGAAGTCACAGCAAATTTAGGGCAGTTCAGAATGGCTGCAGCTCCTGCAGATAAGAGCAGAGAGGGTTGAGGTAAAAATTGGTTCCAAATCCTGGTTCTAGTTTTTTACTTTTATTTTTTAGGCTGTATATCACGGTGCTGGAGTTGTCACTCCTGCTAGGTGCTCTGGGGTCCATGCCTGTGGGGGATCAAACCCCAGGGGCTCACCTCTCTGGCCCTGCTGTATCCATTTTTAAACTTTGTGGCTTTGGGAGTCACTTAGGCTGAGTCTGTTCCCTCCGCTGGAAAGTGGGGATCGTCAGCCGCCTTTAGAGCCATGGAAGCACTTTCCTGGCACTCTGTTCCTAAATGTCAGCGTGTGGTCTGGCAGCGGTCAAGGCCAATTCTCAACGATTGTTTGTTGAGCTCATTATTGAACAGGGATTCTCCTCCTTACAGCGACATTGAGAGCCTCAGTTTCCCTGTGTATTCAGGGACCAATCCCTGCCCCATAGCAACGTGAATAAAGTTGTGTAAACGGTCCAGTAGGGAGCGTGTCTCTAAGTCAATGTTTATTCAGCCCACAGCAGTTCCTCTTCAAATCCTACTCTGTAAAAAATCAGCAAAACCAGTTTACACTCCCAGGAGACACCCCCCCCCCCACCAACCCCTCCTCTCCTGGCCCCCACTGCCCTGGAACCAGGGAAGGGGAATGTCTCCCCACTACCGCGTCTTCCGAGCTGAGAAAGAAAAAAATGGAGTGGGGAAGCAGAAAGTACATGCGAGGCAGCGAGACAGAAAAGAGCGAGCGGCAGAAAGGCGGTGGGGGAGCCGGGAACTGCACGAACGGGCCGCGATGCGGGGGGGAAAAGGGTCCCGGTGGGGGCACTTGGATTGTGGCGCGCTGGCGAAAGGATGCGGGGCGGTGGGCGGTGGGCGGTGGGCGAGGGGGCAGGGGGAGGGCAGGAGCTGCGGGCCGTGCAGGGAGGAGTGCACGGCCGTCCTCCAGGAGAGGTCTGGGGCACCTCCGGAGGGTCAGGGTGGGCTCCACGGTGCCAGCTCGAGCCGGCCGCCCCCGAGAGCCGGAGCCGGGCGCCGGGGCGGGGAGGGGGATCCGCAGCCCGCGATTGGCTGTTGCGCCGGCGGCCGGTGACGCGGCGGGCGGGCCCCTTTGTGACGTCACAATCAGCTGTTCGAACGCTCGAATTTGTGCCGAGCGCCCAGCGGCTGCGTCTGCACAGGCTCAGAGCGGCGCGGGCGAGCGCCGCAGCCCCGCGCCTCCGCCCGCCCGCAGCCGTGCCCCCCGCCGCCCGCCCGCCCGGCCCCGCGATGTGGCCCGGCCAGTGACCCGCCGCCGAGCCCGGGACGCCCCCGCCGCCAACTACCTCAGCGCCCCCCCCCGCCCCGAGGTGAGTGCCCCCCGGGCGGGGCTCGGGGAACCCCGGGACACGCCCCGCGCCCCCCGCGCCCGGGTCTTTGTCTCTCGCCGCCGGCCGCCGCGGGGGCTGCGTCCCCGGCCCCGGATTGGCTACCGCGCCGCCGGTAGACCTTGACGTCTCCCGATTTGCATATGACATTGAGACGTCACCAAGGCCGGCACCGCCCCCCCAACCCCCCGGACTCGGGGCGCTTGTCCTCCGTTGACCCGGTGGGCGCTAGGTCAAGACTTGGTGGCTCCTAGCGTGGGAGGCTGAAAGGCGGCGGGTCTTTTGGTCCAGTTTTCCTGGGCCAGTCCAGGGTCGGGGCGCGAGCCTCTGACCCCCCGGCATTTTCGATATTTGAGGGGGATCCTTAGAAGTTTCTTGGGGTGACCGGCTCGGGAGCGCCAGGTTGTTGGGGCAGCGTGAGATGCTGGTGAAACCCCCCTTTCCCTCTGGCTCCAGCCTCTGCACCCTCGGGACGAACAAAACAACATCCTCCTAATCCCAAACGGGCGTGCAGCGCCTTAGCTGACGTCACTCCCAGCGCCCGAACCTGGGGTCTTTAACATTTCACAAAGGGGGAAACTGAGGCCCAGAGAGGGGACGTGGCTCCCTGGAGATCACACCGCCAGTTAGAGGCCTGCCCGCTGAGTGACAGATACATTATCTGTGGGCACTCACCGAACCCGGAGCTGGGAACTATCAACTAGTTGATTACACATCCTGCCTGCTGCTCAGCGCAGTCCCGATTTCACCAGGCCCGGGGGTGGGGAGGGGGGGGTCCTGGATCATTTCCCAGAAGGTCTCTGTGTATGGGGACCCCCTTTTGTGGCCTTGAGCCTCACTCTGTACCTGGGAGTTGCAAAACCCAATAAAATAGATGCCTCCCAGCTGTTTTGACCAGGTGAGTCTTTGGCTACCAAAGGGTGTCTCCAGGGCTGATTTTGGGGTGGGATTGGGGGTTGCCCGTTGCCTCTCTCTGGCCTTTTGGCACCTCCCAGAGGCCCAGAGTGGTCAGCGAGGAGGTCAGTGACCTGACTGATGGCCAGTGTTGACACCGCTTGCGTTGCCACTCTCCTCAGGGCAGGGGAGCTTCTGGCTTTCCAAGCCGATGGAATTGAATAGGCGGGACAGGGAGTCTCATCCTAGCCTGGGCTTGGCTAAAGGACGGGCTTGGGCAGCGGTGCGTGGGGCTTGCTCTGAAAACATGCTGGGCACAGCTGTTGTGATTAAAGGGACGAGTTCTCCCGAGCAGAGCTGGGAATGTGAGAACCAGGAAGCTGGCAGGACTGGGAAAGAAAATCCGGGAGGCTCCTGCAGTGGTCAGGAGAGGGGGCGGGCACTGTTTGGCTGGTGCTGTTGTCATTCCTGGCTCTGTCGCTGACTCCATGTGTGACCTCAGGCAGGGAGCGCCCCCCCACTGAGCCTCCCTTCCCTCAATCTGGTTGTAATTTGATGAGACCTAGAGCAGGCTTCCAGGACACAGTGGGTGCTCTGGAAAATGCCTGCTGGATCTTGGGGCCCCGCCACCCCAGACCCTTTGCTAGCCAGGCAGAGGCTCTGGCAAGACCTGGGTCTGAGCCCCCTCTCTCCCCTGCATCTTTAATACATTCTTGGGGGCTGTTTGCTGAGCTTCCCTGCGTTCACACCCTAGGGGCTGGATGCTCTGCCACTATTTACACAACATGTTTAGACTTAGAATCATCTGGTTGTCTGGCTGGTTGAATGGGATGGTCCCAGCTGGGCTTTCCTTCTCCAAGGACACGGCTGGGTTCTTGGAAAGGTGTAAGCTCATCAAGGACTTGATCTTCCCTTCTAATAGGAGGGGCCGAACTTTCTGGATTTTTGTGAACTGAGTCACTAACTCTGTGGGCTACACAGATGTGCTGGGCACTGGTTGGAGGTGGCACTACATTTCATCACCCCGGACATCCACCAAGGAAGGGGCCAGCACCCTGGGAGGACTTCCCACCAGTTACCCCTCCCCTCCCCCACCGCCCGCCATGGGATTGCCAAGTGTGGAACAGGAACATGGTCTGGAAGCAGGGAAGGTTGCAGTGAGCACAGAAATATCTAGATGGCTTAGCACAAGGAGTAGATGCTTCCAGGAACTGAGGAATGGTGCTGCCCCAGGGACTTCTACAGGAAATGGAGAAACATTCATTCCCCAAGGAAGGGGCTCAGTAGCAAAACTACTGGCCATCTGTAGGGAACAGTGGTAGAGGGACCCTGGGGGCCAGTAGTCTCTAGCTGAGGTCTAGTGAGATGGGCAGAGGGGCACGGCCACTTCCTGGATGTTTCCATTCAAGGAGCAGAGGGTCTCCCTCATCATCATCCAGGGGAGGACTGACTAGGGTTACAGGTCCTATGGGTGCTCAGGCTTAGGGCTCCTGCGGTCTTAGAGCTCCCCTCTCTGACCTGCTGCTTCCTGGGGCCAGGCAATCCGATCTTTCCCTCCTACTCAGGGATCCAGATCAGAGCTGGAGCTTGAGCGTTACCCGGGTGAGGGGGCAGGGCCTGTGGGGATAGGATCTTTGAATCCCATCTGCTACACAGCTGAGACTGAGTGTAGTAGGGTTTGTGCGATTTTCTTTCTTTCTTTCTTTCTTTCTTTCTTTCTTTCTTTCTTCCTTCCTTCCTTCCTTCCTTCCTTCCTTCCTTCCTTTCTTTCTTTCTTTTTTGGGGGTGGTCATACCCGGCGATGCACAGGGATTACTCTTGGCTTTGCACTCAGGAATTACTTCTGGCGATGCTCAGGGGACCATATGGGATGCTGGGAATCGAACCTGGGTCCGCTGCGTGCAAGGGAAATGCCCTACCCGCTGTACTATTGCTCCAGCCCCTGTGTGGTTTCTTGGAGCCAGCACTTTCCAAGTCACACAGGCTTAAGTATGTTCCTTTTTTTTTTCTTGCTTGGTTTTTGTTTTTTGAGCTACACCCCATGGTGATTTGGGCTACTCTAGACTTGCTGCTTGGGGATGGGGGTGCTCCCAGAGATGCTGGAGACCATGCAGTTGAACTATCTCCTACTGAACTATCTCCCAGCTGCTGATAATGGTTCTTAATCTTTGGGTTCAAGGACTACTACTTAGGAAATCATGGCAAAACTTCAGAAAAATGCACATGAACCATGGCCACTAAATTAATGTCTAATTCAGTTGAAAATGTAGCTCTGTGGTAGAGCATGCATGAGACCCTGGACTTGATTCCATGGTGCCACAAAAACAAAACAAAGAATAAAAGAATGTTCTATCCAGTTAGGGAGTATAGTGTTAATGAATATTGTTTTTTTCTCTCTGACTACATGGGTTCGAATCCTACCTCACTGTCTCACTGTGAACTTTTGGGCCTGAGCTTCAGTTTCTTTAACTGTAAGAGGAGGGTAATTATCCCCACCTTCTAGGGTTGTAAGAATTCCATGAGGTGGATTATGTAGGTAAAGTACTTAATAGAAGAGCCTGGCACATTAATGCTTGTTATATTAAGAGGATGGGAATAAATACTATATTGACCATTTCTTCCTTGCCTGGAGAAATTTCTGTGTATTCTTTAAGATCTAGTTTGAATGGTGAATCTTGTGGAGACCTTCCTGAAAGAGTTTGGGCATATGTAAGCCTTATTTTGGGGGAAGGGGGTAATCACTTCTTTTGTGTGTTTCTAAATCTTGTTTTATTTTGGGGTTACACCCGTGGTACTCAGGGCTTACTCCTGGCTCTGTGCTCAGCTTGGGGGAATCATATCAAACCTGGGTCAGTCACATGCAAAGCAAGTACCTTACCAGTTCATTGTACTCTATCTCTGGCCCCTTCAACCATTTTTTTTTTTACTGTGGCCCCTTTCAAACCTTATCTTTTCCCTGTGGCCCCACTTTTTGATTGACTGGTCCTCTACTCTCTTGCTCTGAATTTCCATGTATACAGTTTTCACCTGTGGTCCTTTGGAATATCTGGGGGCCCACTGGGAACCATATGGCCCCAGTTGAGAAATGCTGCCCTAGAGTATTCCCAGTAACATTAACTATATAACTATTATTCCCATTTCACAGATGAGAACATTAAGGCATCGATAAATTAAATGGCATCCAAAGATTATATGAAAAATAGAAAAGCCTGAATTGAAAAGCAGAAAGGGTGTACACCATAGAGCTTCCCCACACAGCCCTGTCCTGCTGTGGGGGCTGGGAGGAGGGTAGTACCCCAGCGGGAGTCCCTCAGGTGACTGACACCTCTCTACGCCTCCCAGGTTTCTGCACTGCCATAGGGCGCCCCCCTGAGGCCGCTTCACTCTCCCACCATGTTCCAGCGCTTCACCAGTTTCTTCTTCAGCACCCCTCCGCCCCCGGAGGACGCCGAGTGCCCGCGCGCCTTCGTGTCCCAGGAGGATGAAGTGGACGGCTGGCTCATCATTGACCTGCCAGGTGAGGCCGGAGCCGGGGCCAGGGCACCGCAAGGGCAGGTGGCCGAGCAGCGGGGTGGGGAGGAGCTGCTAGGGGGTAGGGGGAGCCCCTCCAAGCTGCCTGGGCAAACGGGGCCGAGGCAGTGTCACTGGAGGCGGGTCCGGGCGCTCCATCCCGAGTAAACGCCAGTGCCAGTTGTCTCGGGGCGGCTTAGGTCTTGGGGCTCGCACCTCACCTGCTCTAAAGGCAGGTGCTGAGTCCTGCCCCGTGGGTGCCCCGTGGGTGCGGCGGACCGGGCTGCGGCTCTGACTAACGATGCCCTTTCTCTTCCCGCCCCCCCCCCCACGTGTGTGTGTGTGTGTGTGTGTGTGTGCTGTGTGTCCCTCCCTGCTGCGCCCCCTCCTCCGCATGGCTCCCCCCCGCCCCCCGTAGACAGCTACGCAGCTCCCCCCAGCCCCGGGGCCGCCCCTGCCCCCGCGGGCCGCCCTCCGCCCGCGCCCTCCTTGATGGACGAGAGCTGGTTTGTTACCCCTCCCGCCTGTTTCACTGCAGAGGGGCCCGGACTTGGGCCCGCCCGCCTCCAGAGCAGCCCCCTGGAGGACCTCCTCATCGAGCACCCCAGCATGTCTGTTTACGTCACCGGCAGCACCATAGTGTTGGAGCCGGCGCCCCCCTCCCCGCGCCCGGACGCTGCCCTGCCTGAAGGCGACCTTAGCGAGGGGTGAGTGGACCCGGGCGGAGCCGCGAGGCCTAGGAGAGCAGAGGAGGGGAGGAGCTGCAGCCCGCCCCGCCCGAAGGCCACCGGCTCTGGGGGCGGGGCCTCAAGGCCGGGGCGGGGCTTCGGGGACGAGGGGGCGGGGCCTCCCCTGGGGCGGGCCTGCGAGGTTTCAGAGGCTAGAAGGTTGAAGGTTGTTTGTTTGAAGGTTGGAAAAACGTATGCATAAGATTCCGAAGGTGGGGTTTCTGGAGGCTAGTGCTGTAGGCTAGAGCCCGATTGGAGGCTAGAACCTTCGCTGTGGGCTAGTTTACCAAATTAAGGGGTTCGAACCCAGAGGCATCTCCAGGTTGTCTTCGAACAAGGAACAGAGCTATGTTGGACCAGGGTTCAGGGGGCGTAGAGGGACCGGCGCCGGGCCCGGGTGGGAGGCGCTGGCCCCTCCCTCTAATCCAGCCCTCTCCGTCCCTCCAGGGAGTTGGTGCCTGCTCGCCGCGAGCCCCGGGCCCTGCACCACGCCGCCGCCGCTCCTCTGCCGGCGCGGGCCGCGCTGCTGGAGAAGGCGGGCCAGGCGCGGCGGCTGCAGCGGGCCCGGCAGCGGGCTGAGCGCCACGCGCTGAGCGCCAAGGTGGTACAACGGCAGAACCGCGCCCGCGAGAGCCGTCCGCGCCGGCCAAAGCACCAAGGCAGCTTCGTCTACCAGCCGTGCCAGCGTCAGTTCAACTACTGAGCTCCGTTGGCTGCGTCCCAAGCCCCTGGCCGACTCCCGACCCACCCCACTGCCCCAGCCCCGCCGCTGCAGCTAAACTGTGTGCTGCGCGAGGGGTGCCCGAGGCCTCCCGCAGGCTGGTCAGGATCCCTCCAGTGTGTGTGGGGGGGTGCTAGCTCTCCTCACCACCTCCCCCTTCCTGTGCTGATCCTCTAATCCGCCTGATTCCCTTCCTCCTGCACACCTGCTCCCTGGCCCAACCTCACCTGGACCGTCCCCTTCATCCTTGCTCTTCAGCCCTCTACCTCTGGCCACTCCTATTCTTTGTATCTTCCTGTCCCAGGCCTGGCTCATCTCCCAACTCGTTTGCCACGTCACAAGCCTCACCCTCTCTCATATTTGGCACTACATTCACACTCGCTCCCTTACTCATTCCCTGTAATTCCTTCCCAAATGGGGGTGGGGAGGGCCCCCTGAGGCTCTTTCCCCCTCTCATGGGGGCTGTATGACACCTTGGAGTTTGCTTAGGTCTGGAAAGGTAAAGTATGTGGAAGGGGGCTGTGAAATGTGAATTCGAGGGAGAAGATGGAGGGAATCTCAAGAGGCAGTCTGTCGGAGCTGAATGTAGTCAGGATAGGTTGAGAAAGCCGCGGGGACAGGGCACTGTGGGAGCTGGCCCAGTGCTTGCTCAGAGAGGCCAAGCCCTGTTTGCAGACCCGAGCCTCAAGTCTGCCCTCACCTCCGTTCCTAGAAACCCACCTCCCAAAGCTCTTCCCCGAATTTGCCTTCTGCATGCTACTGAGTCTGAAAGGGCTTCGTCTTGCCACCCTAAACCACGTGTCACCCAGGAATAGAGGCTGGGCAAGGCCCTGCCATCCTGGCCATCTGTTTCAATGCCCAAGGTGCTAGAATTTAAGAGCTTAGGAGAGATGCAGGCCAGAGGGCTTCCAGGCAGCACAAGGGCACACCCCAGAGGAAGAGCGCTCGGGGAGTGTGGCTGGAGGGGACAGCTGCAGAGTGAAGCCATCCTCGGAGACACAGCTCAGCCTTCGTCTTGCCTCTGGTCTTGTCCTTCACACCCTGCCCACTACGGCTAACCAACACTCCTGGGTAGGAGGCCAGGAGCCCCCTTTCCCACCCTCAAGTCTCCCTCCAAGATTCAGGGCCTTCAGGGGGCCTCTCCTCATTTCTCTTCCAGTTTATGCTACTGGGGAGAAACTGGTGCCCTAGGGTTCCCCTCCCCTTTTCTTCCAGTTACCTGGAGGAGGAAACCTGAATCCCTGGATGAGATAGGGGTGGGGAGCGGGGGCGCCAGCTTTTCCCTTCTTGGGGTGGGATTGACTTTTGGGCTCAGACACCAGCAAAAGCTTCTTGGGACGCCCCGAGTTGCTTCCCTGTCCTCTAACTGTCCTTTTCTAGAGTGTGCTCTTTCCTCTTTGAAACTTGGAGGGTTTCCCGTTACCTACTAACACAGGTCTCTCGCTTTACCCGTCTCAGATTCCCAGGCCTCAGAGCCATGCTGAGGCCTGGAGAAAACAGAATCCCATGAAGGTCAAGACGACTGCACCATCACCTTAAGAGCCCAAAGCCTTGGGTGAGGGTCCAGGGGGTAGCCCATGTATGCTGGGATGGGGATAGAAGAAGCTCTGTTGGGGTCTCCTGTCCCAAAGAATCAGCTGAATTCACATGAAAAGTAGTCAAAGTCCCTTCACAAGTCCTCCAGGACTCCTATACTCGACAGCCTTGTTCCTTTCTATCCCCAAGGCTGTCCCTTCAGTTAGGACCTAGTCACTTTTACTCTTCCAGCAACCCCCTTGGCCACTTCCTAGCTAGCATAGGGTCTTCAGCATTTCCAAGAGCTGACACTCCCTCCAGCTCTTCCTGCCTACTTCTTCGCTGCCAGCTGGGGTCCAGGCTCAGTCCTGGGCAGTATCCATGATGACCTGGTTGGAGGAGAGTGAGTGACAGGGAATTTGGCTAAAATTTCAAAAGAACCCCTCCTAACCCATATTTCTGGAGACTAGTATAGGTTCTAGAACTCTCCAACCTCATCCTCTGGCTGGTTGCAAGGCTCATATTTTGTATTTTCCTATAGATTCTGTAGCATCTGCGTGTGGCAATATTTTAATTGTATAGATTTCTAAGAACCAACACTACTCAGTCTCTTGCTAGTCTGATTCCTGAAGCATCAGACTTCATCATACTGTATTGACTGTGTATGTGCCTTTCACCTTGAGCATGCTTCAGGATTTTTATTTTAAACCACAGAACTTGAATACATGAGGGAACCAGAAATCACGAAGTCCTATGCAACCTTAGACAGGAGGAGGTTAGAGAGTCTGTCTGGACTGATGTTTTCAGAAACCCTGGAGAAGTTTGTTCCAGTTTGTATTAATGTCAATACATTACCAGCACTTTGCCAAAACTGAGTATGTCAGGGGGACCCATTTCTAGAGTGAGTCCCAATTACATCTAAGGGTGATTCTAGTTATTTCCCAGTAAGTCTGAGTGCTCTGGTGTCATTTTTTTGCCTTTGCCAGTCTGGCCCTAGCACAGGGTACCATGTGTGTATGAGTGAAGTATGCTGTTTTCGAGTATGCCTGCTCCCTAGCTCTGCCCGGAACCCTGATCGATTTGCTCTGACCCATAATGTCTTAGATGCAACAAAGACCCATCTGGAGCTCTTGGATGCCTCCTAAGATCCATGTGGCTTACTTAGTGCAGACACACAATAGCCCCTTTATATCTTCCCTCTTGCCCTGCTACTTAGTTCCAAACGGAACCAACAAGTTGAGTGCGTCCCTTCTGGGTGTTTTGTGTTGAGACTGGCTGAAATGAGACTGACTGACCATGTCATGACATGTCGACAGACTCAAGGACACAACCACCTCGACCCGGTCATGTGGCATGCCTGTGAACATGTGTAACAGGATTCTGATTGTTAGACTGTAATGTATTCCTCTATGGGAGAAAAAAATTTAATATAAAGAAAAACAAATAAAAATCTATTTAAAGCACATTATGCTTACTGCCTGAGTTGAGCTAAAGTGGGAAAAATACTTTGCAATTGCAAACACAGTGTTGGCATAAGGTATTATTATTAGGTTGGCTTTGGGTTCCAGTTGTGTATATCATGCAGAAAAGGAAGAGGGGAGATAGGCTTGCTGGGAACAGAGCCAGTGTTGGGTCTGACTCATAAGTTAACTACTTCTAGAGAACGGTTAAGATGCAAGACACATATAAATTAAGATGAGAATACACATGAGAGAATCACTAACTCATCCTTTTGGTCTCAGGCATGAGGTTAGGCAAGGGCATAGAGCCCTGTAGTGAGAAAAGGGATACACTGTGTTTAGCTGTAGAGACACAGCAAAAGGCTGAGGCCCACAAAGACAGGGCTGGGATTCCAAGCATCAGATTCCCTTAATGGTAGTGGCTAGGGTGGGGGCAAAAGCAGCTGGTTGGAGACTACAAATTTCAAGATAAGACTTGAGCCAGGAAAGAAAACCTGGGCATACTGATAAGTGACCCATAAGCCAGCTGCAGCTGGGTAAGAGAGGAGAGAGAAAAAGAGGGGTCAGAGATACAGTGGTAATCTTTGAAGCATGTAACACAAATGACTTCTTTGGGCGCAACCTCATCAGCGCAGAATTAGAGGGCAGGTGGAAAGCTGACCTCAGGCAGGGTTAGATTCTTGATGCTGTTAGAATCTGCAGTGCTAATGGCTTTCTGTCCCTACAAAATCCCAGAAGGTTTTGGATTATTTCTCAGATGACTATTTCAAGAGAAAATTTGATGATTATTTCAAGAGAAATTTGGCCAACATTTATCAAAATGCTGAGTACAGTGCTAAAAAGGCCTTGTTCTAGAGCCAGACATGAGATAAGTGAGCAGGTGGGCATGTTACTCTCAGCTTGCCAGGTGGGCATCGTGGGTACAAAAATAAGACAGGGTTCTCGGTCACAAAGAAAGATGTTTCTACTCATTTAGGTCCAAATAAAGAGCTCACTTAAAGATTCCTTACTAAAGTTACCAGTATCATACATTTATATTCTAGAACAATGACATTTATTGAACACATTCAATATTTCACATTGTAGAAACCCTTAGATTCTCTTTATTCACTGGTCCATTTCTACAACAAATACATCCAAAACACTATATAATAAAATTATTTACATATCCAAATGAGAAGATTCCTTTTGCCCACACTACTGCTATTCACACACAGTACTTCCACGGCACAATATATCATTAGAAGATCTAAAAATGCTCACCCTGTACACTAGGCTGCATAGGAAATGTGAAAACTAATAGTCATATTAGCTTCTCTCAATACATGGCAACATTTTAGAAACTTGAACTGCATCTTGCAACACAAAAGGCTTCAACTCTGCTTTCCTCATTGCACTTTATGAAACAGGTTGCAAGGCCTAGGAAAGGGGCCGTATTATTAAAATGAGTAACTGTACAGAATGGATTTTAAAAAGTCACAGCTCAAAATTGCTTTTTGTAAAATTCACACACATTTACAAGTATCAAGTTGCTGTCCAGCTCTTTCACTTGGATTTTCTTCGCTTGGATTGCACGGCACTGGTTAGGTCTGTGGGGGGAAAGGAAGAACGCATTTAGTGGAGGAAGTTTTCTACCATAGGGCCGTTCAGGCCTTCTGCAAGAACTCGGCTCACTTCAGTAGCTCGGCTGGACCCTGAATCTACAGGATTCAAAAGGGGGGCACCCAATGTGGAGAGGGCTCAGGCTTCAGTGGGTGGGAGACGAGAGAGTCCTGTACACTTAGGGTGTGGCAACTGGGGAATTGTGGTACAAGTGGTGGGAGATGCATATACGTAACTGCACGAAAAGGGACAGCATGTGGAGAGTGGCTATAGCTTACATGATTTACCCTGCAGTGTCCATCACCAGCTTCCACCATTCAAAAAAACGATGGATACACTGACTGGGCTTCAGTGAGAAACCAATGAGCAATGGATACAAGCAAGTGGTTAAACTGCCAAGGTACCTCCCTGAGCATCCCCAATCCCCCAACAACTCTAATCCCTTCAGGGCTATCATAGTTTTATAGCAAGAAATTCTTTTTGCCACAACAGAGTTAATATCTCCTTGGTCAATGTCTACTGTGGTCCAACAAGGTGTATCAAACTGTGGACATATATACATATGGAATCAACTTAGAGTAAGTCACAGCCTGCAACAAGCCTGAAAGATCTTGAGAACTTCATGCAAGAAATGGGAACAGTGATTTATAAGCAGGGTAACAATGCCATAAGGAGGAATGAGTGTATGTGTTTCAGTCCCCTTAATTTCTCTTCAATTTATATTCCACATTTAAACTTTGTTTTTCGAATTTTTTTCCACACATAGTTCTCCTATAGCACAGTAAGATAAATCATTGAAACTCTCCAAACGTAAACATTTCTTGAAAGTCTTGCACTGATCTTTCAAATTCACTCTCATGGGGCGAAAGAGAGAGTGCAGCGGGTAGGGTGCTTGCCTTGCATGTGCCAACTGGGGTTCAATTCCTGTATCCCCATCCCATATGATCCCGAGGCCCACCAGGAGTGATTCCTGGGAGCAGAGCAAGGAATAACTCCTAAGCACTGCCAGGTGTTGCCCAAAAAACAAATTAAAAACAAAATCCACTCTCGTATCTCATGCTGTTCCATACTAGATATTTTGGTTTTAGTATGAAAACAATGTTTTAAAATTACTCTTATCAAAGAGAAAAAAAGTGTTTTGATCTAACAATCGTGTAAGATGAATAAAATACATTCATTTTTGGAAACTAAGCTAAACTTTTTCCCTCAGTCCTGAGGCTTGAAACAGGTTATACATGTAAGGCAAATGCATCTGCTGTACCACATTCCTAGCACTTAGGCTGAACTTTCCAAAGCTCATTTTACCTTCAGAGTTGTAGGCAAATTTTATCTCTTTGATGTAACACTTAAGAACCCAGACTCAAATTATAAAAGCAAAAATCCAAATATTTTACTGCTCTGTAAGCAATAGTAACTGCTAAGAAGTGAAGTTTAGATCTCCTTAGTCTTTTGCAAATCAGAAGACAGTTAATCTGGGCCAGGAGAATCATATCATGGTTTGGAAGCTGGCCCCACATGCTGGGGGAGAAGGCAGTTGGGATGAAGAAGGGACCACTAAGTAAATGAAGATTGGAGGGATCATCCAGGATGGGAAATGTGTGCTGAAAGTAGATCAAGGACCAAACATGATGGCCTCTTAGTATCTGTATTGCAAATCGTAATGCCCCAAATTAAAAAAGAGAGAGTAAGAAGGACTATACTGCCACAGAGGCAGGGAGTGGGATGGGGTGGGGGTGGCAGGTGGGACACTAGAAATAATGGTGGCGGAAAATGTGCACTGGTGGAGGGATGGGGGTGCTCAAGCATTGTATGACTGAAATGTAATCACGCAAGTTTGTAACTGTATTTCACGGTGATCCAATAAACCTTTTAAAAAAAATAAAATAGAACATGCAAATGCTGTGATAAACAACAACAAAAAAGAAGACAGTTAATCTGACTGGATATTGATAGCTATTTTAATCCCATGGAAATAATGTCCTACAGAGCCCACAACTCCCCATAGGCAACTCTTTATGTCCAACTCTTGCTTGTTTTTGTGCCACACCTGGTGGTGGTCAGGGCTTACTTCTGGTTCTGTGTTCAGGGATCGCTCCTTGCACGAGGTGCCAGGGATCAAATTGGGGTCAGCTGTGTGCAAGGCAAAAGCCATGCACTGTACTATCTCTCCAGTCCCTTTATGTCTAAGTCTTTTATTTTTAAAATTTTCTTTATGGGCTACACCTGGCAATGCTCAGGGGTTATTCCTGCCTCTGCACTCAGAAATCACTCCTGGTGGTGCTCAGGGGACGAGATGGGGTGCTGGGGGTCAGACCTGAGTCTGCCACGTACAAGGAAGACTCCCTACTGGTTGCATTATGGCTCCGGCCCCTGCTTCATGTCTAATTCTTATGCTTCATTTTCACTGTAGCAAATTTGTCACCTGCAGTTAAAAAAATAAAGTATTTTATCTTGACTGAGCTTTCCTTTTTTTTTTTTCCTTTTCTTTCCCTCAGAAAAAATCTGTTATGTCAACTCTGGAAGTTTCTTCTTTGTTGTGCTATAAAAAATCAAGTGATGTACTCAAGGGACAAAGAAAGGCAGTGGTGGGAACTGGCAAACCCTTGTTCCCCTTACTCCTTCCTTGCTCGTTCCCAAAGCAACCAATAAGTTGGCAAGCTGCATGTTTCTGAGGAGGGATCAATGAGTGGAGCTAGGAGTAAACAAGTATTTTACACTAGAAACGGCAATAATAAGTCTTAGGGGCCAGAGATTGTAGCTCAGTAGTAGAACATTTGCCTTGCATGTGTGAGGTCCTGGGCTCATTTGACATGCAGAAAATAATCTTTTATTTATTAGTGTTTATTTTATACTTCTATGAAGGAAAACAAACAAAAAATATCAACTTATTTAAAGTCTCTGGTCACCTTCCCTGGATAAATCTAGCCAATCTGGGTTAAACAACAAATCATATGTGGTGTCTAAGTTTGAAAAGAAAATATTGGGGGCCAGAGGTCCCCTGAGCTCATAAGGAGTGATTCCTGAGCACACAGCCAGGGGTAATGCCTAAGCACAGCCAGGTGTGGCACCAAAAAAACAAAAAGGAAAAAAAAAAGTTATGTTAACCCTGGAAGTTTCTTCTTTGTTATGATGCAAGGGATCAAGAGATGTACCCAACGGGCAAAGAATGGCAGTAGTAGGGAAAGATATTTTTATTTAACTTTTTAATTGAATCACTGTGAGATAAACCCTTACAAAGCTGCTCATGATTAGATTTCAGTCACACAGTATTCCAGAACCCATCCCTCCACCAGTGTACATTTCCCAGTACCAGTGTACCCAGGTTCCCTCCCATCACCCCCCACCCCACTGCCTCCCGCCTCCCTCTACAGCAGTTGCGCCTCTCCCCTCCCCTCCTCCCTCC